ATCCCGTTCTTCTGCTCTTTTGGTGCCCCACTTTGGATAATCGGCTTAAGTTTAATCCAGGAAAGTATAAGAGGTGCTAGATCACTGTCGTTTCTTATAATTGAGTAATATTCCATTGTAAACATATACCAAATTTTAATAATCCACTCATGGATTGACGGGCACTTGGTGCAAATTGCATTTTTAAAAAGTTAAGTTTAAGGTGCCTACAATACATCTGGGAAATTTTATCCAACACAAAGTTGAGGATTAAGGGTCTGGAGCTTGAAAGAGGAAGTGGTATTGAGAATGCAGTTTTTAAACTGTCATCTTGATAGTGGAAGCCATGGTAGTGTTTGCTATTACCCAGGGAAATCATGGAGAACCAACACTATAGCCTAGTACAATGCCAGGTACATAAGTACTCAATAAATGTTTCATGAATGCTTAATGAATGAAGACGATGAAGCACTAAGTGTGGAATATGGGGGAACAGTGACATTGAAAAAGAGGAGGAAAAACTAGCAAAAGAGAGAAGGCATGGCTTATAAAAAGGTAAACTTTGAGAGAGTGATATCTCCAAAGCCAGAGGAGAGAATTTCATGAAGGAGATGGTAGAAAGCAGTGCTACTTGCTACAGAGAGATTAAGTAGCATGAGGACTGCAAGTGGGCCTTTGGAGAGAGCCTTATGAGATGACTGGTGGTGTCAGGGGAGGAAGTTTGCATGGTGGTAGTAGAAGTTGAGGGTAGGGATTGGAAGGGGAAGCAGGCAAAGAAAAAGGGCTTTTCTTTTATGAAATTGTTCAGGGGAAAGGTACAAAGGAAATTGGACATAGTGTCAAGGAGATGTGGTCCAGAGGAAAAGCTTTCTTTAGAATGGAGAGTCCTTCCCACCATGTGCAAAAGAAGTAGGTAGAGAAGTAAGAAGGAATGACTCCAAAGGCAGATTTCTTCCTCAGGGCTTTCTAAGATAGGACCTATCAAAGCTGAGGATTCTCATTTGGTATACCCACAGTAGCTCTGTAGATCATCATAATGTCATAAACCTTAACTTACTTGTAGGAATCTGAATATGCACCCTCTCTAGAAGATTCCTCTGTTATGTCTGTATGTATCTTTCTAGTCTTGGCTGTGTAGATTTAATGGTCTTCTTAGGGAAAAAGTAGAGTTAGCTCAGAGTCATGGATCTTTTATCTCTTAAAGCCACACACTTCTTAATGATTTAAAATTTTAGATTATCTTCTATATACAAGTGAGTAGTCACTTCTGATGATTTGTAGTTGTGGAGGGGGACCTCAGCCATGGTATTCATCTGGGACTGTGAGCAAATTATAGGTATCCATCAATTTCTAAACTCAGGAACCAGATTCAGATATATTTTTCCAGATAGTGCTATTTGAGATAGACTCATTATCCAAACTCTTACTCTTTACTGTCTAAACTCAGAGACATGCTTTACAGTCTGAACTGGCTATCCAAATCTGAATAATTTGGATTGCAAAGGATAGTTGTACTCTGATTAAGTTCTTTCTCCTGTCCTTTTTTCGGGAGAACCTAGGATTGTAAGAAAGAACCAGGATAAATGTGAGTCTAAATAAACCATTTCCTCCCACTGATTAGAATACTTTTTTCTATAGATCCATTTCACTGGGCTTGGCTTCCTCAAGCAAAAGTTCCTTTTTCTGAAGAAATAAGAAGTTTGATTCTACCATATATTTCTGACATGAACTTTGTGCAAGATTTATGTGAAGATCTTTATGAACTTTTTAAGGTAAATAAATGTTTCATTTTGATTATGCAGAAAATAAAGTAAATCTTAAAATGGAAGAGATTTTCTTAACAGAGCTAATTTGCAATTTATTACTTCTCATATTGCTGCTTGCAGTAGAATCTGACATGACTGAGAGGCATTAGCAGTTTTACTTTACCAGGACCATAAATTTGTAAAGTTACACTTACTGTGAGTATTCTTTGAAGCGAGACTGCATTAAAATTTAAGAAGTTGTTTTCTTCAAAAGTTGAACTTTGGCGGGCGCGGTGGCTCACACCTGTAATCCTAGCACTCCGGGAGGCTGAGGCGGGAGGATTGCTTGAGCTCAGGAGTTCGAGACCAGCCTCAGCAGGAGCAAGACCCTGTCTCTACTATAAATAGAAAGAAATTAGCCAAACAACTAAAAATAGAAAAAATTAGCTGGGCATGGTGGCACGTGCCTATAGTCCCAGTTACTTGGGAGGCTGAGGCAGTAGGATCGCTTGAGCCCAGGAGTTTGAGGTTGCTGTGAGCTAGGCTGATGCCACGGCACTCCAGCCCAGGCAACAGAGTAAGACTCTGTCTCAAAAAAAAAAAAAAAGTTGAACTTTCACAAAATTGTTAATACTTCATAAATTATAATATATATTTGGCGACCTGCTATTTAATTCTCTTAAAAAACCTAAGCCCTCTTAAATCCTTTATGGAATAAGTTGAGGTATAAATAAATAAATCTTTTTTGTCATCTTGAAAGTATACAAAAAGATACCAGGTAAAAAACTCTTTTTGTTTTATCAATTAGGAAAGCTTTCTAATGGCCTTATTTGCTAAGTTGAAGTATTCATTTGTTTTCAAATATTTATTTCAAGGATCTCGATTTTGGAAATTACAATTTTTTTTCCTTTCTGTGATAGACTGACAAAGGATTTGACAAAGCCACTTTTGAAAGTCAGATGTCTGTGATGAGAGGTCAGGTAGGTTACTTTTTTATAATCTTATTCATTAGGAAAAAAGTCTCTTTGGAACACCAATCAACTGTTTTCTCCACTGTCACCCGGAGATAGAATTCTTAATACTACCTGTTGTGCTCAGATGACTAGAAATGAAGTTAATTTAAATAGTTTCTTTACTGTATTGTTTTATAAATTAGGTTTTATATATTGTTTATTTAGCTATTTGTTTCTCCCTACTGTGAATTGTCTCCATTTTGATAGCCATTTTCCTGGGTATCACTACATTTTTCCTCCTCAAATCCACTTGTTTGGGCATTTCAATATCAAGTTCTGTTGTCAATAGTCTTTTCCTTGCAGAACATGTTTGGCCTTTGCTAGAGTAGTGATTTAATAACCAAAGTTCAGCACTGATTGGGGCGCGAAAGAACTAATTGTAACTCAGTCCTCTCCCCCTTCTCTTCCTCACACCTCTAATTAAATATTAGAGATTCAAGGTATAAATCTGCTGATGTGGACCTGCAGGCTGGGCTGACTCTCAGATAACATTTGCTTCTTCAACTCTATTCATGGTATTTAGATTCCAAAAGGAAGACTTGAAATGAAAATAAATTATACTGTAAACACTGTCCTTTGGTAACTTTTAAATTAACATTCTCTTCCTAAAATGTACATTTAATTTAAGGTAGCTGTTTGCTACAATACCTGTGGCAAAGAAGATGAGTCAAGTTTTTGCACTGATATTGTATTATGTAACTTTAGCAAGTAAGTATAGGTAAATAAGATAATTGTTTATTCATTCACCAAATAATTATTGACAGAACTAGTGCCAGAAACTAGTCGCTGGAGATAAAGCAGTGAGCAAAACCAAGTTCTTGCTCTCATGGAACTTACACTCTGCTGAGGAGGTCAGGGTTCGGTGAAAAGGGACCGAGTCTTAGCTAGTGCGTGTCTCTGTGCTCTTTCACATTTGTGCAGTGCTTTACAAGAATCAGTAAGTGAAATGACTGGAGCAGTAGGGTAGAACCAGAGTATGGAGAGCTTTAAGAACCAAAATATAGATTTCACACAGAAGGAATTGGGGCGGTTAGAAATTTAGCATTAAAGAAAGGCCGTGATGAGACAGAAATTTTTGAAAAGGAGACCTGCTTCTAGGTTTCTTCTATGAACTCCTTGAAATTGTGTATAAAATTTGTTTATAAGTGCATTTTGCGTGTGGGAGGAGATAGGATATCTCAGCAAAAGGGATCCCTAACCCAAAAGGGGTAAGAAACACTGCAGAAAACTAGGCTGAACAGTGGGGTGTAGGTTTGCTTAGTAGATGAGGAGAGTAGAGCCAGGGGGCATCACTAGGAGGCTTTTTTTGGTAATTCAGACATGAATGAAGGGATCAGATGATCAATGATTATAATTGTGTTGCAGAGTTTTACCATCCCAAAATACGTGTGAGCTAAATTTTCAGGCATAGATAATTATGCCCTGATTTGACCTTTTTGCTTGAAACAGATTGACTTGACATATCAATATGCTTCAACTTCTGGAATTTTCTTATCCCTAAAGGCGTACCTTTATCTTAGGGATGTTATTTTAAACAAATAAAGAAACAAAGAAATAAATGCTATAAATAATTTTATAAGCTTTAATTGTGGATTAAAGTTAGTACATGAGGAATTTAAATTAAAAAATGCATCTGAAAAGTTATGCTGACTCTTGAGGTCTGTTACAAGATATAGCAGTGGGTTTATTTATTCATATCCTGTCTCATTTACAAAGGAGTTTAAGGTATTATAAAAATGTATGTAATAAAATATAAAAATGACAGGATTAAGATCTGGGGAGAGAAAGAAATAAAATGATGATGCTTTGGTTGTATGTTTTAGTTTGATTTTGTTCTCCTTTTAATTTTAGTTTGATTTTGAGCTTTCTTATAGCCAAAAAGAATAATGTACCCTGACCATGTACACGATTCCGTGGCTCTCTGGTTTTAGCTGGCCTTTTTGTTATTGTTGTTGTTTCATTTTTTTAAAGTTGGTCTAAGGCCGGGCACGGTGGTATGTACTTTCAGTCTCTGCTACTTGGGAGGCCGAGACAGGAGGATCCCTTGGGCCCAGGAGTTTCAGGCTGCAGTGCACTATGATTATGCCTGGGAATAGCCACTGCACTCTAGTCTGGGCAACACAGTGGGACCCTGTCTCAAAAAAAAAATGGTCTAAAAAAATCAGATATTATTCTAAAGTAAATCAGCACTTATTAAAGAGAGGCTTAACAAAAACAAATAACAATACTCTAAATTCCAGACAACAGAATCATTATTTTAGCCAGTTCCTTAATTGAGTCAAAATACTTGTGTTATTTCTGTCATTTATAAATATCCCTTAAATTCCTTTCCCCTCCAGTTTTGCCTGTTAACTTAATGATTTGTGTTTTCTATAACCAAGCCTTTTGCCCTAGTTTGTAGTAAGCCTTCAGTTTTATGCATATAATCAGTGACATGCTCTAATTCTCCACATGAAGTTGTAGACTGAAACTACCATGAAGGTTTTGTGGTTTTTTTGTGTTTTTTTTTTCTTTTTGTAGTTTGGGACTGGTAATGTTTATGAAAGCTAAAGATAAACCTTGTTTTGAATTTTATATTAAATAGGTCATAGTCAGGTTCAATAAAATTCATTGATGTTCTACCTGTGCCTATTTGGAACATTGGACCTGAGAATATTTACTTATGGGAATGTGAACTATATTTTCCATATGATCTGAAAATACGGCAGAAATAATAAATAAAACTGTTTTGTGAAAATACAGTGAATGAATATTCAGTGATTTACAAACAAGAAGCTCATTTACAGATTAAGTAACAATTGATGTTAAAGAAAGTGAGACAAGCACTTTAGTATCTCTGAGTACTTGACCCTTTACTGGGTACTTTTCTGTTCGTTATTGCTTATCCTCACAGCTCTACAGTTATTTGCATTTTATATGGAAGAATTTGGCGCAAAGGGGTGAAGTACCATGTTGCATCCGTGTGATAAGGGAGTCTGTCTTAAGCCTGGCAGATCTACGCCATTTAGGCATTGCCTCTGCTTGGGGCCCTTATCATCTCTTCTCTGGATTTATCGACATTCTATGTGGTGTCCTTACCTCTTCTCCCATTTCTTTTCCACATTAAGATGAGAAAGTCTCTCTAGAAACAAGTCTGATTGTGTCTTTCATTATTTAAAACTCCCATGATATATTTGCCCATGTGTATAGGCTCAAATCTAGGCTTTCAGCACAGTCAACAAGACCCTTCACAGTCTGACTCCAAACAATGCACCTGCCTTTGTCTTTTGTTGTTTTGCAGCTTCCCTTAAGCTTAGCAACTCAGAACTTCTCTTTCTTCCCATCTCCCTGGGGAGCCCTTGCACTGTTCTCTCCCCAGATGCCTTTCCGGTTTCATCTAGAGAAGAGTTGTTCTTTCAAGCTCCAGCTCAGTCTTCCTAGGCTCCTCCTGCAATCCAGGGAGTTGTTCTTTAGATTGCTGCAGCACTTTCTGGGAATATGCTGGTGTCCCATTTTACTCAGAAATGTGGTTTTAAAATCAGCGTATCAGGTACATTACTACTGAAAAATAGCTTAAAATTGACCATAAAGTAGAATATATGTGGTTTGATGTATACAGTGCGGTAATTCTCACACGCATTGAAATTTGAGAACGAGTGAACTAATCTAAAGGAAAGCTAAGCCTGTATGCAGAAGCCCGCAAGTTTGTGCCGTCTGCCTCTGCCACAGCTGTCACATGCCTGTCAAGCTCTCAGATGTGGCGTGGGTAGCGAATTCCAATATCTCCCCTTGCCTGCAGTATTTGTTCCATTCTATTTTTAAAAATAATCCTGTCTGATTTAAACATATAATAATAGATTTGCTTATTCTTTGAGAAGTGAAAAGAAAAAATCGGTGATATATGGGGATGGGGATCAGATTTTAAAGTCAGGATATGGGCCCTTTGTAGTTAAAGTGTCTGTCACACTGTATTGCAGTTATTTGTTCATGTGGCTGTTTGTTTCTAGAATGTGAGTTCTTTAAGGACTCACATGATTTTTCCCTCCTATTCAGTTCCTTGTTCAACACAGTGAGCAAATATTTCTTAGCAAATATTTCTTTAGTAAATAAATGCAAAATTATTGTATCTTCTGAACTCCCAAAGAAAAATTAATGGTATAGTTTTAGGATTGAATAATTTTTGCTGCTATATAACTATGTAAAAATTGAGACTTTGTAAAGCGACTTTCATTTTCTTGTATTTTTCTGTTTTCCAGATTCTCTGCAACAATCATGTATTGTTTTTTAGAGCCAGAAAAATATTCGATGTTACTTAAGTTTCGTATATTTAGACTAACATCTTTAGAATAGAATTTTTAAAACCCAAAGAAGAAACCAACCAGAACATTTCATTCCTTAGCCATGTTTTTGCACATAATTTTATTTTCGTGGTCAGAACCATGCTTATAGACTTAAATTTCATAAATTCTTCTTTTCCTTATTATCCAAATATAGCCAACTTAGAAAATTTTAAGGGAAAAACTTAAAAGGGATCCTAAAACAAATATAATCTATAACTATAATACTATTGCTAGTACAGGTCTATTTTCCTGATATGTTAAATACTCCAAATCTTCTAGGAACTAAATCATCTAGTTTATACTATTCAAAGTATTATGAAGCTTGCTTATTAGTGTGGCTTTATGTTGAAATGTTTATGCTTATCACTCTTGACCAGTCTATACAAGAACCATCAAAATGTATTGCATGTATCTATTAGATATTTTCAAATACCTGAATGAGACATCTGTATTTCTAAAGTATATAATAGAGAGAATTTTTCCTGATATGCAGGGAAAAAAGAAAATGATTTACTAAAATTTTATTGTGTCTAAATAGAGAATAGTATAGGCTATAATCTATGCCTTGAGTTTTATAACCTTCTTTGTATTCTCAAGTAGAAATGCCAAGGGTGTCTTTGGACATAGAATGTAATATATTTTACTTTTTCTAGTTTTATTTTTCTTAAGAGTAAGCTCTTAAGTAAAACTTTATTTAAAATGGCTCCCTCCCCAAACTCTCTAACCCCCTTGCCTTGCTTCATGTTTTCCCTTGGCACTTTCACCTTCTAATGCACAGTGTGATTTATTATTCATATTAATTGACTTCTCTTCCTGCTAAACTGTACATTTTATGAAGGCAGGAATTTTTCTTTTTTTTTTTTAACTTTTGTATCCCTAACTTAAAACAGAATATAGCACATAGTAGGCATACAGTAAATTTATTTGTTGAATGAGTGGATAAGGTAAGTATTTAGTTAAAACCAGACTGTTTAAACCAGTATTTATTTAGATTTTATGTTGAATAGAATATGTAGAACCCTTCACTTTGTTCATTCTCTGATTCCATTGCTCCTGGACATAGGTTTATTCTAGAATATCTTAAAGTTACCAATTGGGAAAAGTTATTTTATTCTCATTTTGTGCATTCATGTACATGCATATATAAACATACATATATCCATATAATCATATTTATAGCAGTCATTCCTCATCACAATCTCGTGTGTGTGTGTAGGTGGATGAAAAAAATTATAGTGAATAAATGGTTAAAGTAATGTCAGTGAAGTGAAACTTTTTATCTTTCTAAAATTGGTGAAAATCTCTCTTCTTTTCGCAGATCTTAAATCTTACTCAGGCACTGAAAGACGGGAAGAGTCCTTTTCAGCTAGTACAAATGCCTTGTATAATTGTGGAACGGAGTCAAGGTGGGAGTCAGGGTCGGGTTGTCCACCTAAGCAATTGCTTTACGCAGACCGTCCATTGCAGGAAGCCATTTTTTTCTGCCTGGTAACAGATGTAAGAATGAGATAAACAAACTGTTTAAAGTTATTTTGTTGTTAAACATTACGGTAATGTAAATCTGCTGTTAAGAGCACCAGTTGCCAAAACCTCAAGTAATACAAGTCTTTAAAGGTTATATTTTGAATGTAACCAAAAGTATACAGGTTTTTGTCCCAATATTAAATTTCTATTTCAGGGAAGAAGTGATAATTTCCTATATTGTATTTTGTAGAAAATTTGTATTTTATGTTGTTGTTAGTTTAAAAGGTAATTTTACACATGCTGGAATGACTGTAATTACCCTAGAATTCCAAGTAGAAAAATAAGGTGTTTGTTGACTTTGAATGCAATAATTTTTAATATACTTTTTAAACATTGAAAAGAATGTTCATGTTAACTCTTTTTACATTACAAAAGGCTTTTGAGGGTGCGAAAGTCTGAAACTGCTCTTATGAACTTTAATAGAATAGTTAGGTAATGGAAAAACACGTAAAAATAAAGCAATGTTGCCTTAATTTTAAAAGCTGCTGTTTTAGAACTTGACTAAGTGCCCCTAAAGTGGCTATTATTAGGGACCACAAAATTATATCTTTATTAAGTAACAAGTGACCATTTTCTTTTTTGTACTTTAGACTATTTTTGGTGAATTATTTTGTTGTAGTCAGGAAAAATTCTAAAGACATTCCCCTTTTGTTAAAAAATGGAAACATTCAAGTGAGACTTGACAGGAATAATATGAAATGAAGTAGATCCCCCAGTATTTTGGAATTCCAAAAATAGCAATAAAATTCCCTTTTGTTTTCTTGCATGGGATCAAGTACTCGAGATTATTACTTCAGAGTACTGATCTTGTAAAATTTAGTACTTCAATTAATATTAAACTTAAAAGTAAACCATACCCCACATTATATATTGGATTGCATTTTGGGGTCCTAGGTTATAAGTTCTTAAAAATAATACTACTACTTGAAATTACAGATGTTATAATTACAGTCAATTTTATATTATCAGGCCAATTAAAGGGAAGCATGACAGAGATAACCGTAAAATCATTTATATTTGATTTTGAAATCTATTTTTGTACTTTATTTTGAATATCAGTATGTCTGACATTCTTGGACTTTGCAGCACTGTGTGATTTAAATTGAAATGAGCCTGATAAGAAGATGTGATTATAGAGAAGCAGAAGCTTTGCTCTTTTCTTCAGGCTCAAAATCAGTAACATTACCAGTTGGACCAAACTGAGTAATTTGTGCTCTTGACGTTTTGTGTTTTAAGCTTATTGTCTTGTGTAGAATGTATTTTTGTGTAGAAATTATTTCCTGGAGGTTAAATTAGCATGTAAGACAGACCTGTAATTCTCTCTTCCTTTACATCTTTCTCTTGGTCTTCATGGATGTGCTGAATGAGAATTCTGCCACCTTAGTGGAGTTAATTGGAAACCTGTGTTCTCCTACCTCCTCTGACCTTCCATTAGCTCAGTTTTGAGATAATGGAAAATTGACTGGAAATTCAATACTCCAACTACTATCTTTTAGATAGATACTATTAATTAAAATGTGCCTTTTGAAGATATGTTTGAAAAGAAAGGAAATAAGTTGCTGTGATGTGAGTTCTGCTTTCATAAAACAGTTTTTTCAGTATTTTGAGAATTGCCATATTAATTTTTATAATGGAAAATTTAGTAGATTACTACTGTTTTATATCCTAAAATTAAAATAGTGTGAAAATGTTTTTAAGTGGTCTGACCATGCCAGAAAAGTAAAGTTGAAATATTTAAGATACAATTATAAGTCAGAGTACATTGGTTGTATTTTGTAAATGTTCATGAACTTAATTCTTAATTTAAATATTGTGGTTTTTTTTTTCCAGTGGCTATATTTATAGTGTCAAACATAGTAGACTAAATGTAATAAAAATCATTGTCTTAAGGTTATCTTTCTTCTGTGTTTATATATATTGAATATTTAGAATGTCAACACATATACATTTATAAATGATGCCAAACTACCATTTTCTTACTTCATTTATTAATGGTATAGTCTAATTCTTTATAATTCCTAAAGATATGTTTAACTGGAACCTTTACAATTGGAGACATTTTAATTTTATTTAATTAGATGCTGACTCTGTCACCCCCAAAATTGGAGACTCTTTGTGGAGACATGGTTTTTTGCAGACTTGAAAATAATTTGATTTATAAAATTTTTTTTAAATTTAAAATAATTTTAAGGAATTAAAACCTTATTAAATATGATGGCATGTTCTTTGATCAAATTATATTTTACATCCTTGTACAGATAGATGAAGAGACAGGCAGCATCTTAGTTTTTGTCTGCCTTCTTTCACCAAGTTGCTTGAGCAACTGTACAGAGTTGTAGCAGAAATTCTTAGTACTGTTCTATGTTTCCAAGCCTCTCTTACAGTTAGTTTGGGGCCGCATGACAGAGTTCTGGCCAGTGAGATGTGCAGACAAGTAATCTATGTAACTTCCAGGCCTGGCAGTAAAACTCACCGTCATGATTGGCCATTCTCTTGTCTTCCTATTTGGCTATAAACAAAGAATTTGCAAAATGGAAGCAGCCAGGCACAAGAGTCACTGTTGGTGGAAAGCTATCAGGAGAGCCTCCTGACTGCACTGGACTTGTGACATGAACAAGAAAGAAGTGCTTGTGTGTAGTCACTATAGTTTTTAATTTAATTATTGTCCTATCCTAGGCATTATGGTATAAACAGAAAAATGCAAATCACTTTTAAAATAAAAATTTGGAAAACAATTATTGGAGGCATACAGGGACACCATCTTCACTAAAACTAGGTGACAGAGTATCTCTATGAATCCCAGAATATGAGCAGTTTGGGTTAAAACCATCAATAGCAACAAGATCACATGGGAACAGCAGCTTTGGCGGAGCAAGCAGAGAGAAGGGAAGGGGGATTTGTGATGGTGCTGAGAGCCAGAACCCAGAATCTGCCACCATGTATTCAGCCTGCAAAGGAAAGATCCCCAGTAGTGGTGGGAATCTCAGTTGATAGATCCAAAACCACAATCAAAACTGGGAGAAGGCCGCCTGGCTTTCAACCGGCAGCTAGTGATGGGGCCTGCAGAAAGGTGGGGGTGCTGGGGCAGTCTGTCTTCACAGTTCTCACAAATAGCCAGTGAGGGGACACGGTCTGTACTGAGAGAAACTCCCGGGAATAGAAGACACACTGACGAGGGAAGAGCTCTGGGCGTAAAGGAGAGGGGGTTTGCATACTGATAGAAGAAGGGGGACCAAATGTGACAGAATTCAGAAAGTACTAGAGGTAGAGACACATAAAACCATCTTATCTAATACTCTGTAGGAACTACAGAAGAGAGAGCCCTAGAACCATGAAGCTAGAAAACTGTCCTGGCCCATCCTCACCTCCTACACAGGAATCTTATAAAAATATAGAAGGAAAAATATGGAAAAACCCATCTTACTTAAATACGAACACATCTTACAATATGCTGTGAGAAAACAGAGGCTTATAGTCTGCATAACGTACCCTCAGAAAGTGGAGATAATCCCAGAAACACATCTGTGAAGCAGAGGAAAACAGTAGTCTAATGTTTTAAAATTGCGGTCCCCAACCCTTGGCTTGTTAGGGACCGGGCCGCAGAGCTCCACTGCCCACCCCTCTCCATCCATGGAAAAGCTGTCTTCCAAGACACTTGGGAACTGGGGAGGGGGCACAGCAGGAGGTGAGCAGCGGGCAAGCAAGGGAAGCTTCATCTGTATCTGCAGCCACTCCCCATCGCTCGCATCACCGCCTGAGCTCCGCTTCCCTCCCCACCACGACCGTCCGTGGGAACGTTATCTTCCCTGAAACCGGCCCCTGGTGTAAAAAGGCTGGGGATGGCTGATATAAAATACCATGTTTTGGTACATGTATACATTGTGGAATGGCTAAATCAAGCTGTTTAACGTATGCATTACCTCACATATTTTCATTTAAAATTTACTCTCAGCAATTTCCAAATTTACGATACTGTGTATTATGACTAATTGCAGTCACCATGATGTACAATAGATCTCTTGAACTTAGTTCTTCTAACTGAAATTCTGTGTCCTTTGACCAACATCTTCCCAGTCCTCCCACCCCCAGCGTGTGGTAACCACCATTTTACTCGTTTCTGTGAAAGCAATGTTTTTACACCGCACATGTCAGTGAGATCATGTGGTATTTGTCTTCCTGTGCCTGGCTTATTTCACTTCACATCAAGTCCTCCAGGTTCACTCATGTTGTCACAAATGACAGGATTTTCTCTGATATTTTTTAAGGCTATTCAGTATTCCATTGTGTATATGTACCACATTTTCTTTCTCCATCTATCTGTTGATGGACACTCAGGTTCCATCAAGCCCATGGCTTGAACAGTAAAAGTATGTAACAAAAATGCATTTATCTAAGCAAAGTGCATTATTAAATCGCATGATTTTACTTAGTAATTAAGTTTTAACCTGCTTCAAAACCCATGCAGGGAGTTCTTCAAGAAAATAAATCCTTAAGCTTTAACGTTTTTATTCCACCACTATGTAGTGACATCAGTTTTAACTTTTGTCATTTTAAAATACTGTAAATTTAGTTTGTGTTCTAAATATTGTTTATCTTCAATAAATGGAAGGTATGTACAATTCTCTTTGGACAATGATCTTGTGAGTTAGGGATTTGGAAAAGGGAGCTACGTTTAAATACTGGTTCTGCCCCTTGTTTGCGCCATGTCCTTGGGCAGATCTTGCAATCTCCCAAATCAGCTTTCTCCACATGTAAAACTCATGAGGGAATAGTTACTTAGAGGTTCGTACAAGGATAAATGACGTATGTTTTGTGGAAAATGTGGTACGAATGCTGTTAAGATACATGCTCAGCCTCCACCTGAGCAGCTGTGTATTAATGGCCCTTGTGGATTTTGAGTTTTAGATGATGAAACAAGGCATGCATCTATGTTTATGGTTTTGGATTATTGAGTAAAGGGTATATGTGCACATGCAAATTTCTAGATTTGATATCTTTCTTGGAGCGTGGTGACAAATTTGGAATCATAAAGCTTTTTCTTCTGTGGTCCATGTGGAGTTAGTTTGGGGTGGAGAGGGAAAGGCACCTGAGGTCACTGGGTAGAGATTTATCCAAACTTGACTTCTTGAGAAACTAAGAGATATTTCAAAAGGTGTTTGTTCAGAACCCTGACGCCTGGGTCTAGCCCATGAAATGCCCATGCTCCTGAATGTCACCCTGCGGGTAGTTTTTAGATCTGGACGTTGAAAGCACGTGATTTCAAAAAGAAGCCGCTAATCTCTGTAAGCAAAGAGATGTGCGTATTTTTCTTTTGACTCCCAGAACGCTGCCTGCTCCGAAAGCTCTGATTACACAATTCCTACTCACAGGTAAGACTTCTGAATCTATTGAGATCTGCAGAAGCAGCAGAAAAATGAAGTAAACTTGCCTTCCCCAAGAGTCAGAACGTTGTATCAACATCTAGGGCTGATCCCCTGGCTGATGGAACTGGTTTAACCAGGTGCTTATGCCTGACTGCCAGCGGGGTGAACAACACCGCCTTTCATCTCAGGGTGGCTTTGGGAACAGTCCAGAAAGCTATTCTTCCCTTCAAGTGTTTGTTTTCAATTGCAGCACTTAAGGGCAACCAAGGTACTGGTTTAAACCAGGGTGGCAGCTGCCCTAACAGAGCTCCCAAGCAATTTAACATCTGTCTATACTTGCTATCATGCTGTCTGCAAGGAGT